AGCTGCACAAGCTCCAATGGGATGATCCACTGCCATCCCAGCTCTCAACCCGGTGGCTCTCCATCAGAGAAGAACTCACAAGTCTGGCCAGACTCTCAATACCTCGGTGGCTCAACACATGGAGCGACTCGCAAGTGGAACTTCATGGATTCTCTGATGCTTCTCAATTGGCAATGGCTGCAGTCATATACATATCCGTTCACGACTCAAACGGCGCCACGTTCTCACTTGTGTGCTCCAAAACTAAGGTAGCACCGCTCAAGCGGCTCTCAATCCCGCGACTTGAACTCACGGCTGCTCTACTGCTCTCTCGACTCATGCAATACGTCACAGCCACTTTGAACATGGACGTAACGGCAACTCATATGTGGACGGACTCTCTAGTAACACTCTTGTGGATCAGATCTCATGCATCACGCTGGAAGGATTTTGTCAGGAACAGGGTGGCTCAAATTCAAGAACTCACTCCAGCTGCTCACTGGAGATACATACCTGGAACTTCCAATCCGGCTGATTGCGCATCACGAGGCCTCACGACTGCTCAGCTTCAAAACCACGCACTTTGGTGGACGGGACCACCATGGATACTCAAGCCAGACTCATGGCCGTCGCAACCAGCACTCTCTGACGAGATGAGTGCAACAGAAGCTCGCCCAGGCGTTTCGCTATTGACGGTTACGCCAAAGGCTGAATATCAATGGGAACTCATCTACAGGTACTCAAACCTCACTAAACTATTGAGGATTACAGCTCTCTGTTTCAGATTCGTCTCACGGTTGAGGAAAGTCCACGACTCATTGCCTGTCAGACACATCTCTCCAGAGACCTTGGAGAAAGCGAGGCTCTTCTGGATTCAGGCAACTCAAGCAACATACGCACGAGCTCAAGGCATTACAGGCAGACTCACCGTTGGCAAAGGCGCACGCATTCAACAGATTGACTGCGTACATCGACGCTCAAGGAGTCATTCGCGTCGGCGGACGACTCGCTCACGCAGCTCTCTCATTCGACGCGATACATCCTGTTATATTGCCTCGTCACTCTCAGCTGTCGTCATTGATCATCGCTCACGCTCATCAACGGACTCTACATGGAGGCACGCAGCTTACGCTGTCACACATCCGACAACGATACTGGATTCTCGGCGGGAGGGCTCCTGTCAAGTCTCACATCCTGCGGTGTGTCACGTGTGCTCGTCAGAGGGGGATCCGTGCTCATCAATTGATGGGCCAACTATCTCTCTCTCGGGTTACGCAGGCACGACCGTTCACTCATACAGGTGTAGACTACGCAGGGCCGCTCACCGTCAAAACGTGGAAAGGAAGAGGTGCCAAAACGAGTAAAGGCTGGATTTGCGTTTTTGTCTGCTTCTCAACCTCAGCAGTACATCTCGAGGCGGTCAGTGATTACTCAACGGAGGGATTCATTGCCGCCTATCGACGCTTCTCATCCAGACGCGGCATTGCTCACACCTTACACTCCGACTGCGGCACCAATTTCATCGGCGCGGATGCAGCTCTCAAAAGGCTGTTCATCCAGAGCACTCAAGAACATCAGCAAGTTTCTCACCTGCTCTCTGAAGACCACACCCGATGGGAATTTAATCCCCCAGCGACACCTCACATGGGAGGAAAATGGGAGGCCGTCGTAAAATCCATCAAGTATCACCTACGGCGGACCATTGGAGAAAGCGTGCTCACCTTTGAGGAGCTCACCACATTGCTCACTCAAATTGAAGCAATTCTCAATTCGCGCCCGCTCGAACCATTGAGTGACGACGCGGACGACATCTCAGCACTCACGCCAGGCCACTTCCTCGTAGGAAGTCCGCTCACCGCCATACCAGAGCCCTCACTCACCGACCTGGCAATCTCAAGACTCTCTCGATGGCAGCTCATCCAGCAGAAGACACAACATTTCTGGACACACTGGGCAGCGCATTACCTACAACGACAACAAGCCATCTCAAAGTGGCACCACAGGAACAACGCGATCAAGATCGGATCATTGGTGCTCATCACCGACGAGCGGCTACCGCCATGCAAATGGCCGCTAGCCAGGATCACGGCTCTACATCCTGGGAAAGATGGTCTCGTGCGGGTGGTGACTCTGAAGACAGCCACTACCACTCTCATCCGACCAGTGGTCAAGCTCTCCGTCCTGCCAATCTCATCATAACATCAGGGATCATCAACCATGTTGCTGATGGCGGGGAGAATGTTCCGGATTCAATTATGAATCTCGGTCTGTTCGTCACCGGCGTGATGGCAGCATCAGCCGGGTCAGATTGTGCAGCGCCACAGGAGCGCTGCGCGCGCATGCCCGATCGCGACGCGAGGCGACAGCGCTTCTTCACGCTCGTTACCGGCGCTTTTGCTCATGGCTACCGTACATAGTACACGCGTCGTGCAGTGAAGAAGACTTTAGTGCGCTCTCGTGGACTTTTTCTCATTACGAATCGACTCAGTGTGGACACGAAGTGAACTCTTCGTTGTGCGACTCATCCTGGACATTAGATACAGCATCAACGGCAGCTCAAGCTCTCCACGCATCGCACGCCGGCGTAGCGTGGCCACGGCTCACGGGCATCGACATTCACGAGGCCGGCCATCGATTAATATAATCGAACCGTGCGAGTGATTAAGAGACTTCTCATCCCCGTTAGATCATAGACTGCTCAAACTGTAAGCTTCTTATATTTATTAAACGACCAACGGTATTTTACTCAAAACGCCAAGAGTGTTCGATCACGTGATTTCTACCCTCGCAAGCATGCATCCGTTCCCCGAGTCTTTCGCCGCAAAGTCCTCTCAGCCCTGCTTCCAACCGCAGCGGTCCAGCGAGCTCTCCCAAAAGAGATTCGCGAACACTCTCACTTCCGCAATTTTTGAGATATCGCCTTCTACTTTAGCACATTTATTGAGTGTGATTAAGAGATGGCTGGTATTGTATTTGACGATAATCGGTGCAAGGGTTCAGTTTATATATACATATTTATGTATATTTACGTTGGAATTCCTGAATAACTCTTTAAATATTCAAGATATCGGGCTATTTCTAATTCTATTATTCTTTCCAGTCTTTTCTACTCCAATTTCATATATAATTCATTAATATTCGGTTGATTAGTTTTTGAGTTATAGATGTTTGAAGTTTCATGGAATCCGTACATGAACACTTTTTGCTTCCTCATAGAGGAAGCTGTTTTCATGCGAAAAATTTTTTTCCAGTTTTCATTGCCAATGTGTTTAAAATGTTTTAAAAACCCAAAAAACATAATTTTTAAAAAATGTATGTGTGTGTGTGTGTATGTACGCAATATTTGTTCGCGCTCTCACGTCCGCAATTTTTGAGATATCACTTTCTACTTTGGCACATTTATTGAGTGTGATTAAGAGATGGCTGGTATTGTATTTGACGATAATCGGTGCAACGGTTCAGTTTTTACATACATATATATGTATATTTACGTTGAAATTCCCGAATAACTTTTTAAATATTCAAGGTATCGGGCTATTTCTTATTCTATTATTCTTTCCAGTCTTTTCTACCCCTATTTCATATATAATTGATTAATATTCGGTTGATTAGTTTTTGAGTTATAGATGTTTGAAATTTCATGGAATCCGTATTTACGTTGAAATTAGTGAATAACTTTTTAAATATCCAAGATAGAAAAAATGTTAAACACTAAAGTTGTATCGTTTTTAGTGCCGCACTTCATAGTAATATCAGTATGACCTTGAATAGCTTTATCAAGGTTATCTAAAGATCACCTTGAAATTTTTATATGGAACCCTCCTTTTTCATTAAATATTTTTGTAGCTTATTTCAATAGCTTTCCAAAACGCTATAATAAAGTATGTTTTCGTTAAGTACTTTTGGAGTTATGAGGATTGAAATTTACGGTATTTTTAATTCCATGAATAACTTTTTGAATATCCATGATAGAAAAAAAATGTTAAAGACTAGTGTTGTATCTTTTTTTCTTGCGCATTTCATAGTAATATCAGTATGATCTTGAATAGCTTTATCAAGGTTAGCTAAAGATCACTTTGAAATTTTTATATGTAATCCTCCTTTTTCATTACATATTCTTGTAGCTTATTTCAGTACTTTTTGAGTTATGAGGTTTCAAAGTTACGGTATTTCTAGCATTATCCCTGAATAACTTTTATTTCCAAGTGTAT